AGAAACAATTTGATGCATTTGTAGAAATATAATTTCAGAATCATTTATAAATATAGCTATGTCCATCTTACTGTTATAACTGTCTCTCAGATGCACCAAAGCGCAATTTTCTTCAATATTTTGTACCAAATAAAAATACAGTCGTAAATTTATTGTGGTCTGAAGTTTAACTTTTTAGTATCAAGAAAGCCTTTTACAAATTATTTAAAAATTGCACCAATTTTTATTATGAGCCACCGCATTGCTTATAACTGAATTTCAACTCTCACTCCAGATCCTCTGATATATCTGATGCGCTTTTTAGTATTAAGAGAACAGTTCTGACGTAAACTTGCCACATGCAAGTCGTCCATGAAGATAACATCGAAAAAGTTTAAGAAACAGTGCTTGAAAATAGTCGTGTTGGCATCAAAGAGATATCAGAGTATCTCAACATCTGTAATGGATCGACTCAATACATTTTGGTAAATGTTTTGGGTATGAAGTATATCAATGCTGGTATCAAAATTACTGAATCATTTGCGAAAACGACGTCGAGTAGAGGTCGCAAAAGAGATGCTTGACAACGTTGCTGAGAAGCCTCCCTGATGACAAGACATAGGTTTATGAATATGACGACGAAACTATGCAACAACTTACCGAATAGCACTCTAAAAATGAGTCGAAAAAAAAATTTGCTGAGAGCACTGAAAGCAATCCCAGCCGAATCTTATAACAAGTGTATGAAAAATTATTATAATAATTGTCGTATACTCACTTTCGGAATCTTTTTGAAATTAGTTTTACAAATCTCAATCAACTTGGTCTCTAATCAGTTGTAGCAAAAATGTGAGCGGGAAAATCGTTTTTCTTTTTTATTTTACTTTCTTTTGGATTTGGTTTTCATATTATTTTTATTATGTAAATTTTGAGAGGATTTTTTCCGCCTAACTCAAGAAATTATTTGTGTTCTATTTACATACATACTACATGTTGTACATTTATCTCATATACAAAGCAAATAGCCAAAAGGCCACTTTAAACAATCTGCTAATACTCTCTTATTCTACACAAATACTTTGATATGTATGCATGTGTGCGTGTTTGTCCTAAATTCTCATTCTCTTTATACACTTCTCATTTAAAAATTTCCAAGGAATTGTGGCTCCTTTTGTACACTAGCACTCGAAGCAATTTCATGGCATTTGGATCGGGTACTTTGCAATTTCCTCATAGCACACACACACATACACACATACGTTCAAGTACAGATGGACCATTGTGCGGTGCACTTAGCATTTAACAAGTTTGCGCCAAATCGACTTTGAACAGCTACTTGTGTTATCAGCTGCACATCTCCGGTTTGGTCCATGTGCTGCTAGCCAAAATGAATTTGTGGCTTTTGCGTTTGCGTCTGTTCTTATAACAGTTGTAGCTGTTGTTGTATTGGCAAGGGAGGAAACAATTTTGGTCAACTTCCACTTGCACTTTGTGCACACACACATACATAGATACATTAAAGTTCCAACTGTGTAAATGTGTCGGTGGCACTTTGCTGCCGTCATTGCTCAGAAATTAATTTTTTTATATTTTATTTTAGTTTATTCTTTTAAATTTTATTTTAGTTTATTTTTTTAAATTTTATTTTAGTTTATTTCTTTTATTGTTATTGTATTCAGCTTGCATGGCACTACAAGGCGAGATGTGTTGACGAGATTGCTAGCTGCCAGTGTGCTGCACGTGTTGTGCGTGTGTGTGTGTGTGTAGGTGTTTGCTCGGATCCTTATTGCTACGGAAATTCAATTTAAACTCTACGAGTTAATATGGATTCGCTATAAAGTGATATAGAAGCCAATGCAGTTGCATTTTTGCTCGTTATACCAACATGTATGTACATATATACACACTCACATGTACACATACATCTGTACCCACCATATACTATCTCATTGATTTTATTCTGTAGTTTGCTATAAACTTAAACGCCAGCTCAGCTGCAAGTGCTGCCGTTGCGGTCTTAAAAACCTCAGTTTATTATCATACACACATACATACATAACACATATAACAGTTATGAACTATGCTGCCAGCCGAGTGTAACATCTGTGCTCTACTGCTCCTGTTTGTATGCTTCTGCTAAAATAATACAGTGTCGTAATTGTTTTACGGCATTATAGATTTCCGAGTATAATCAGCAGCTATTATATCTGTTATTCAATGCGCGTATTTTATATGCTTTCAAACAATTTTCGCAGAATTTGCAACGATTTGATTTTATTCTGCCAATTAAGTCTTATTTTGTTCAAAAGAAAGGTGAAGTAAATGCAAACTGTCTTTTAGCTCTGTCGCCCACGGTTACATCTAAGGACGGTACTGTGAATTATGACAAGTTCTTTTCAATAAATATAAGGTTTAGTAAAAAGAAATTTATTATTTTTGTAGTAAAGTGAAGGTTTTATTTAGCATAGCCGATATAACCCGATTTAGGTCACCGGTTTGTTCGATAACTTGTTGTCATTTGGAGGTAGTTTTATGAAAAACATAACCCTCGCCATTTTTGGCAAAAAATGGGACAATCTATTTTTATGAGCTTCTCTTGAGGCGAATTTTTTACCATCAAAGTCAATCGCTGTTGACCGTAACTGGTAGTATTCACTTGGCGCCAGATCCGGACTATAATATGGATGGATAAGAACCTAATAACCAAGCTTCCGGAGATTTTAGTGAGGAACTATCGATGTGAGAGGCCTGGCATTGTCCTGATGATACACAATTCCTCTTCTGTTGGTCAAAGCTGGCTGCTTCTGAGCGATTGCTTCCTTTACACGGTTCAATTGTTTACAGTACAGCTCCGAATTAAGAATTTGGTCGTACCAAACACATAAAAAAAACCTTCTTGACTGCCAATCCTGGCTTGGCCACCGTTTCCGCCGAGTCACTGCGATTCGACCACGATCGTTTTCGCTTGATGTTGTCGTAAGTGCGTTTTGCTCACATACTTTTCTCCACAAAAAGCTGCCCCTTTGTCGGAACTGCCAACAGTGGATCACTATAAGGTACAGCTGTCATATAAGCTGATAGTTCAAAATCAAGTCCTTATATGGAAAAATTTTTTATTTGACAAGATATCCTCACTAAATTTGTCATAGAATAATTTTCAAGGCAAGGCTACAATCTCTGAATATATTGTTCAGATCGGATCACTATAGCATATAGCTGCCATACAAATTGTGCGATCAAAATTAAGTTCTTGTATGAAAATTGGCTTTGGTGCAACCTAAGTTACGGGATTTTCTTCTTTAAATTGAGTATTATCTATCCAGAGACCCTCAATATGATATATAAAAGTTAAATTGCTGGATGCTACCCATTAATAACTAATTGAGCCATACAGAAAGCTTCGTCAAAGCCTGTTAATTTTCAGCTAATTTTGTTTTGACCTTAACCCTAGACTGAATCAGAAACTTCCATATTATTGTTACTTTCAATAAATAATAATAGTTTGTTTTATCTGCGCTGTCAAGATAACCATTCATCAACATACATTTATTCTCCATTTTGTCAGTCAGTGATTTTTTTGCGGGAAATCATTATCTTTTCGGAGGTCAGATATTTTACAAGGTCAGATATATTACAATTTTAGAAAAAAAAAACAATTTGCAAACAAAAATCCATTATTGAATGCATAAAAAATTGTACTCGGCCAAGTAATCAATAAAATGTAGCATACTCGTATATAGTTTAAAGAATGCCTTACCACTACAAAGTTTTAGGAGGTTCAAAAAATAACGCGAATTTTAGTTTTTTTGATAAAAAATATTTATTCATTTGTCTACGTCTTCAAAATATTCGCCATTCGATATTATGCACTTCTCAAACTCGATTTTTCGGAAAGACTTTAGCTCCTTCATGGATGCGCTTTTAATGTCACCTACAAGTAAGCTTGTAAAACAACGGCTCTTTGATGTTCTCTTTTATTCTAGATATAGGAAAACGTTACACAGAGCCATTGTCCACATAGCCATAAGACTTTACATATTCCCACAGGAAAAAGTCTAACGGTATGATATCACACGATCTTGATGTCCAATCGAAATTATCTGCTCACCGAAGTGTTCTCTCAAAAGAGCCATTGATTGATGCGATGTGTAGGAAGTGGCGCCGTCTTGTTCAAACCAAATATCGCCAAGATCACTAGCTTTAATTTCAGGCATCAAATATTCTGTTATCATGGCACGATAACGGTCGCCATTGACGGTTACGTTCTCAACGGCATCATTTTTGAAGAAATATGGACCGATGATTCCACCGGCCCATAAGCCACACCAAACCGTTGTTTTTTCTTTATGAAATGGCAGCTCTTGAATCACTTCAGGTTGTTCTTTGTCCCAAATGCGGCAATTTTGCTTGTTTACATACCCATTGAGCCAGTAATGGGCCTCATCGCTGAACAAAATTTGGCTCGAAAGCGCGCGAAACGCATTCTTAACAGAATGTGAATTTTCGTAATAATGTTGAACAATTAGTGAACGCTGTTCAAGCTACTTGGATCATTAATTACTTATACACATGTATATGAGTACATAAATAAATCAAAACTCTTTCAATTAATTATAATTTTTACTCAGCCTGTATAATAATATATTAATTTACCTATTTTCAAATAAATCATCGGTTTTCCCACCCATTAACTTTTCAATTACATATTTACCACAATTATGTTATTTTGCACTGATAATTTCTCCCATAACGTTGTAATTTTTGTGGTTTTCCGTTTATGCCACTTATTTTACTTTCTCCCTTCAATTTCCACTTTATTTTCCATTCAATTTTGCTGAAGAGTGTTCTGTTAAATTGAGGGCCATTGAAAACTTTTTATTTGCAAATAAATTGTAGTTTTTGCGAAGTTATTTTCGATTTCTATTTTTGTTGCACATTTACATAAATACATCTAAAGTAACAGTAGACATAAAGAAAAATACCCATTTATCATCTATTTGTCTTTGTTACTTTGATTTCAGTTCTTGTGCTGTAAAAATATCAAACTTTTTCTGGATGTTTGCCGCAACCATTTCGGACTGCGCGAATCGGATCTTTTCGAGCCCACAATGCTGTATGATTTAACGAATTTCCATCGTGTGCTGATAACACTTTCCAAATTATCGCAATGTCGTAAAGTACAACAACTGCATCCGGATTTAATGTGAGTATCGTAAATGTAGTAAGTATTCGTTTATAAAATTAAAGTGCTGTTCGTATAAATTTACCTTACCAAGCAGTTTGAGATATTAGTTAGTTCGAGATTGAAACAGTTTTTCTTGAAAACATACTGTTTCGACGAGCTCGGATCATAGGGATGTTAGGTGACTACTTATCGATCCAAATAGAGTTAGATTGCAGAAATAATAGTTCTTGGCCGGATAAAATGTGGGTCAATTTCGGTAACGTAGAACCAGCTCAGCAGGTGAATTGTGAGTTGGTTTCATGTAGCATGCAAAGAGATCTATAGTGTCATGCGGGAACTCATTGCAAGCAGTACATAGGCTTGATATGTCAGGATCGATTTCGGTTTATTAAGAGTTTAACCTACTTAACTGTACTCTTTCTTCTGCTATTGGCGTTGGTTGAACTCCAAGGAAGCCGTTCACTGGTAGAGCGGCAGTGCTTGTCAGAATTCAGTTGCGTCCGTAGACTGGTCGACAAGGTGTTCAACGCCATCCACGTAGTCTAGGAAAATCCCCTTGGCTGGCGAGGAATTCGTTGTGTTCCTTAGCCAGAAACAAACTGGTATCGCTGTATAAATGGAAGACATCAAGAGGCATTCTGTTATGGTACGGAGTGCAGTAATCTGATAAGTCTCTAGCTTCTTCGACATGTCATACTGTATCCACGTGACCATACCGGTACTGCATAGATTATGATAATCAATAATGGTTGAAGAACGGTCGCCATTCCCTCGACAGTCGGGTCTAAGTAACTGGAACGGATTCGAATTTTTATCCAGCCAAAGACTGTCAACTCGGCACCATTCCTCGAAATTACTTTAGGAATGTTTTCTGTCGCTACTACAACAACAATAACGGTCGCAGAATCACGAATTATTGGGCTGGATCCACGCCGAATTGCAGGAAAACGATCCAATTTGTAGAAGAAAAAAGTGCGCTCCAATATGGTAACGCACCAACTCAAATCTCCGCCGTCAATACGACCAACTTGGTCGAGCTAGACTACGAACTGCTGCGCCATCCACCGAATTCCTTAGATTTAGCATCGTGTGACTTAGTCTATCGAGCTAAAAAAAGACTATGTTAGGAAAAAAATCGCCATTTTTGCAAAATTTTCGGTTACGGACCCCCCTCATATTTTCATATTTGCGTAATTCCATCTATGAATAAATATAAGTCGAAACAAAAATATATTTTAATTAATTTCATTTATTTTTTGTTTCAGTGGTTTCAATATCCAGCTTTCACCCAGCGAACGCTCCCACTCCGATGAGGCCATTTACAAGGATTTACATTCAACGTAAGTAAATTAAATCCAAAATAAATATAATTTTTTAGCCTTTTAGTACATTGCATTAACATAAATACACCTAAATGACACTGAAATCCTCTAACATTAGTGGGCAGGACTGTAATGCTGCGCACTGACGCATTCAACACCGCTTTTTTAACTCCCCATTGTTTGTTCGTGTATTAATGCCGCGTGCAGCCGAGCAATGCGTCAGATGCCTGTAATTAATTTTTAGCTCCGAAAACAAAAAAATAACAGTAATACGTATATATATGTATGGTATATATTTTTCTCATTGAAAATTACACTGGGCGTGTTTGACAAGCGCCTCACCACTAACACTTACCTAAAATATAATTATGTTTGCTCAACTTACTACAGTACAGCATAACTTTGTATAATATTTCTATCTATTATCTCTATTCTATTTTCTGCCTTTTCTATTGCACCCACACTACTCTCCCATTAAATCACTGCCACCGTTATTTGGTGCTGTGTGAAACACATCAATCAATCAACAAATTAAATAATTGTTCAACTACACGTCAAACGTTAAACGTCAAACAAATGTACCATTGACATACGCACGTGCGTCCAAAAAAAATATATTGCACTTAAATTACATACCCACATACCGACAACGAGCAGCGATGAATCGCGTAAGAATGGAGCAATTGATGGCCAAGCTGAGAATTGTGATGTCGTCTCGATTAGTGGCTCGCTCTCGGTTGAGGATGAGAACAGCGACATAACAATTGAGAATGGCAACGAAGACACCGAAGAATATGAAGACGAATTTACTACCAATCTGCTGGAATCCATTGATGATGAACAAAAATCCACGTACAGTGGCAGTTCATGTAGTACGGCTGTGACAGCTCGTATTTATGCGTCGACGTCGCATACTCGCAGCGCTACTGTGGGTAATTTGAGTGGCATTAATAGTATTCGCACTTCCGTTGGCGGACGTAGCAGCATCGGCAGCACCAACTCTGTCACAGACAGTTTGGGTGCCATGAGTGCGTCATCAAATTCGAGTGACAACCAAAGCTTACAGCGTTTAGCTGCAACAGCATGGAATTATCAGGCGGCTGCCCGAGAAGTGGGTGGCCACGAGTATCTCAATGATATTTACTTTGAAGAGGATGAAAAAGTTTACGAGGACTTATGCTACGTCACGTTCTCATCGAAGGCAACTGAGGTGCGCACAGCAACCCATATACTACATATCTACCTACTATTGTTTGTGCTTCCTCTCCAACAAAACATTATTATCATCGTACATGTATACATTGTGTACACTGCATGCATGAGTGCATGCGTACGTCTATTTACATACAAACCTTATACATATTTATATAGGGTTGTCTGTTGCGTGTAATAAATGAAAAAGTTTCTAACGAATTTTATAGTTTCAAATTTGTGGAAATTCCAGAGCGATATAATTATTCTGATTTACTCAATATTTATTTTCGTATTAATTTTAAGTTTATGGAAAGTGTTCCAATATCCATTATCATTTGTCTGAGCTTGTCATTCTCTCTATTTTCTTTCAAGTCGTTAGCGCTGTTTATAATCCTTCTTCCTAGCGTTGAACTAACCTAAAAACTTAGACTTCAATATTTTCCGCCAGTCCTCCGAATGCATTTCTATCTTTTTGAAGCTTCCCCAGCTTTCTCAAACTCAGGTCCCACCTATTTACACTCGCTTCGTAAACTTTTCCGACAACCCTTTATGAACTCTCACAGATTTGTATGTATTTTATATGCAAAATGTTCACACCATATTTTGCATAGATATGTGAAGTTGCACCCATGCACGTGCGAACATACAGTGTCTCGTTTAATTCAATGGCTTTTGTAGTTAGATTGTTTTTATCACATATTCTCTCTGTTGTTATGGTGGTGCAACAATTTCATTGTGCTGCATGAATGCATACAATACATGCATACATATGTACATTTGTGTTGTTGGTCGTTGGCGTACTTCTAAACGCTCCACCATTGAGAATGCAAATGAAGCGCATTTCACTTTTTTTCTGTTTTACAAAATATTTATGAATTAAGTGGCCACTCTCTGCTTCGTAGAGATTTTTGAAGTATTCTAACTGCGTTTTTTTTGCGCTTACATTGTTTAACTTTTGTAGTATATGATACATGCATATATTGCTATTGATGTATGTATGTATGTGTGTTATAATTGCATGATACCTAATTTGAATTTCAGTACATTAAATGTGGTTTTATTTGTACTTTGTTTTTGCGAAAATTGAAGCACCGCGTGTATTAGACACGTTAGAAATACCGCTATCTAATACCGAATCCTTATCACTATATTAATTTAATCTTTTAGGTGATCCCAAACACTCTCTTGTTCTACCTGATGCAATTTATTGTTGCTTTTTACTTGATAAACACAAAAAATAGACACAAAACTTAGTAAATTTCCACAAAATTTCATATAATTTTTATTTGGTAAATTTCGGCTTTGTATATATGTATGTAATATGTACGTGTACACTCAAACATTACAAAATATTTTTCTTTTGTTAATATTCACCCAGTCATAATTCTCAAAGCGTCATAAAATTAGCTAAACACCTTTTTTACATATTTTTTTTTCATTATATCATTAGCGTTCTTGTTGCCCCTCATTACCAACTCCTTCACTGGCTTCACCACCCACCACTTTGTTAAATGGCATGCGTTCTGTATCGCTTGATGACTCATTTTCCTCATCGGCGCTATCATTTTCATTTTCACTCTTGAAAAGATTATTTGCCAACGTAATTCCTTGTGTAGCGGCGCCAATTAAAGGACTCACATTGATATTTGGATACTCAGCTTTGACTATTTGCCCGAATACGTTGAGGAGGGCATCGAAACGTCGCTCAAGTCGTCGATTGTAGCGACGTTTATGTCGATAATAACGCTCTCTTTCGCTAAGCGGTCGTTCCTGTGGGCGTCTTTGGCAATTCATCACACGACCAGCAGCAGATGTGCTCGGCATTTGCGCATTCGCTTCCGTGGAAACTTGTGGTGGCCGTCCTTGCTCGACAGTCTTCTCTGTATCGCTAAATTGTTCCATTTTCATTTCGATAATTTGTTCACCTGCTACATGTAGTCTTACTTGTTCCATACCTTCAGTCACCCCATTACAAGTAATTGGTTGTTCAACCAACATGGATTCCTGTGTATCATTGCTCTCATCAGCAAAGTAGTTTAAAGGGAGTCCATTTTTCTTTGTATAAAAATCATGATCTGTATTTGGTTGTGCTTCTCTTAGTTCATTTGGTTCGTCTGCCGTGTTGAATTCATAATTCGTGTCGCTACTGAACGCGTCAAGATGATCAGGGGAAGAAATGGAACTACCATCATCATCAGCCGTTGGTGGTACTGGTAGACGTATAGTTATTGGGAGCGCATACGAATGCAAATTGGTGGTTTTGTACGACATAAAACGGTGTATTGGTTCAAAGAATTCCCATTCCTGCGTAATTTTTCGTATCTCTTCTGGATCATGTGCGCCATTTGGTATCACATCCAGACGGTTCAACTGTACATAAAGTAGAGGAATGTTTTAAAATCACACTATAAAATGGTTCCGGTGTATTATACCTTATATTGTTTGTATTTGTTGACCATATTCGACCACTGTTTGCGCACGAAGAACACATTGTAGTCGTCCAACTTGGCCAAACTCAAGATTTTTCTACAAAATTAATAGAATAGTGTTAAATATATTAATTTCGCTCAAAATATCACTTACTTCCAAGGCGCTACACTGGTCGTAGGTTTGTTCGTGAACAGTTCATCGTGGTTGATGCGTGCCTCAACAAGTTGTCGTTTTTGATCAATTGACCCTGCAAATATATTTTTACGAATGTACAAATTTCACAATTTTCTTTACACATATGTATAACTAAAATTTAGACATGGTTGTGCATTTTTTCAGCTTACATTTTTTCGCGACCTTTCGTTTCGCATAGGAGTGTAATTCCATTGTCAATTAACGCGGCATGATTTGCTGTTTTGCCCGTAATATTTATACACTTTTTCACCCACGTTATTTGTTTATTTTATTGCATTAATTTTATTTTTTTTTTAGGCGATTTTCCTAAAATTCGAGTGCATTCGTCTACCAATTGTAGAATCGCCTGTCAGAACCACATGCGAAGATAATCCGTATGCATTTTTTGACATTCCGCCTTACATGCTTCATCTCAAATGTCACAGAGAACGTAGAAAATTTATTATGAACGTACGTTATTATTAGCTCGGTTTGTGTCTGTAGTTTACGTTCTCTGCTAAAAATGTAAAATACAAAATATCCATTGGTATCACAACTGTTGCAAAGTTTCTTTAAAGAATGTTAATGAACAGAGATGGCGCAAATGTCAGCTGTACTAAAATGTAAATTATTATGAGGGAACATCGAAAAAGCGTAAGTTCGAAAATAAAACTAGATCATAAAGGAGCATTCACCACTCTAGAAGGGAACTCAATGATCTACACCACTCTATAAGGGAACGAAGCAAGCAAAATGTTTTCGCAGATGTTCTTTGGCATGCTTATGAACGAAAAAAATGAAAAGAGAATCAAAAATATCTGTGATAGGATTTGAAGTTAGGTAAAAATTTGATGTTGCAATAAAAAATTGTACTATGGAAACAGCACCACAGATAACATCTGAGTATAATAGTCTAATAAGTGAACTCAAACAGCTATCTCTTTGTATTTGTTTCAGTTGGCCAATTTATATGTGTGTATTCTTGAAATTGCCTTTCCTTCGTGTGCATGTTCAAATACATTTGCACATACATACATATATGTATTGATGTCCCTCAATATAGCATTTGTAAAGAATGGAACAACAAAAAACTGCGCAGACGCACCATCATCGACCAATAAGATTCAAGCAAGCTTGTGCATATCTTCTAAATATTTCATAATACAATGACAACAAATTCATTCATAAGAAACGCGTATCTGCCTGCCACAAAGTAAAGCGCGATTATGCTCTTTTTTCTGTGTGCTTGGTTAACCACAATTCGTTTTTATATGGAATTTCCATTTCGTAAAGTCGCGAGGAATGACAAAAATAAAGCTTAAATTAATAAGAATATAATTTGAATTCAGTAAAATTGAACAAAGCAGTCAAAATTTCAATAAAATAATAAAAATTATATTATTATAAGTAAAACTAAAAAAATAAAACACATTAAAAAAGGATTTAAAACAAATAAGGAAGGGGTAAGTTCGGGTGTAACCGAACATTTTATACTCTTGCAACTTACAAGGCTCAAAGTAGGGAAATTATCTTCAGGTGTAGCAAAACTTCATATTAAACTAGAAAAAAAAGTTGACTTCAGCTGCATGGAAGCTCTAATACCCTTCACAGGACTTTTATTAAAGCACAAACATTACATTATATAACATATTATGAAGTTAATGGCCCATTTGTTTACATTTAGCCAAGTCCAAAACCTTTGTTTTCATTTAGCCAATACATTTGTTTACACAAATTGTTTACATTTTATTAAGTTAATGACCCCTTTGCTTACATTATGAGGTCATTGTTTACATTTTGCCAAGATCAATGACCATTTTGTTTACATTTTATTAGGTCAATGACTCTTTTGTTTATATTTAGCCAAGTCAACAACCTTTGTTCACATTTAGCCAAGTTAAGAACTTTTGTTTCCATTTAGGGTTAATGACTCTTTTGTTTACATTTTTCTAAGAATAATGGACCTTTTGGTAACCTCATGACTTTTAAAATGACATCACATTGAGGCACGACAGTCATTTAAGCACTGGCCAGGTACGGTATCTGCATTTCTTTTATAGAGCCAGCTTCTCGTGAGGTTACCTCTTGACTTTTAAAACACATCACATCGAGGCGCGAAAGTGACCTAATCACTGGACAGGCAAGGCAATGGACTTTTCTTTTATAGAGCCAGCTGGCAGCCAGCATCCACTGAAGTCATCTTGTGACTTCCAAATCAAGTCACATCGATTCCAGTTTTCCTATTTTTTTATATATTATATTAAATAAAAAATATTGCGAAAGAATTGAACCTTTATTATTCGATGAAATTTTGAATGGATTACAATAATATTTGGTATATTATTAAATAATGTTATAGGTCCTAGACTCACTTAGTTTTATTCGCATCAGTTAAAATTATATTAACAGCTTCTTGAAATAGGATGTATGTGACATAAACTCAACCGAAGAGACTTTAGATGATTTTTAGCATTACCACATACTATTAACATGCAACGTACTAATAAAAAGCTCTTTAAGTTTCATTGAGGTACCTCACATATCATCAACAATATATAAGGAGTAAAGTCAAACGAATATTTAAAAATCTTGATTTTTGTTTAGTAGTTTTAATCAAAACCATTAGATGGGGAGTAGGCGGGGTTACCACTCATTTTTACGCTGTCGGTAGGGGCGCTAAAAAGATTTGTCCTGAGTGAATTTTGTTATTATAGCTTTAGTAGTTTTGAAGATATGCACATTAAACCTATTAGAGGGTGGGTAAGGAAAAGTGGCAACGTTGCCCATGCCATGAAGCCCATGAAGAATTTATCTATTAATGCAAAAACAATTACAATACAAAAATCATGATTTTTTTTTGTTTTTTTGTGATATGCAAATGTAAATATTCATGCGCATAGTTCATATAAGTAAGAACCTACGTTGTGTCTATTTATAGCCTCTTCCTCGTTTCCTCGAAGTTGAGTTTTTCGATGTTCCCGCTTGTGAAAACTACAAATTAGTGCCCATTAACATTTGCGCCTTCTCTATTCATTAACATTGTCTGGTTAATGATATGAAATATTATGTTAGGTTTCGTTTCTTTTCCTTCAAACATAATCTGCTCTGCCCTTATAGGCAGTTTTGTGTATGAAGCGCGTATTTTAAATAACTCTTTTTGCCCTTGCAAAGATAAGCGGGTCTATGTAACCGTAACCGGAAAAGGACCACTACTTACTACTTACCGATCCAAACATGGTTAGATCGCCGAAATAACAGTCCTTGGTCGGATAAAATCCCCTTACATTCTGGTAACGTAGTAAAAGCGGCTGTTGTGAAAACTATTATTCCCCAAATATTTTACTTTCGCCTCCTCTGCTTCAACAATAACTCATTTTGCATCCTTGTTTAAACCATTTATGTAGTAAAATTGTTACTGCCGCTATTGTTTTTATTAAATCAATCTACTTTGATCGAATATGCTCGTAAATATTAAGTTTTATTAAGTGCTTAAGTAAATACATATGTACGTAGAGTTGATCGAATTTAGCGCAACATCTTTTCTAACCTCATTTTGTTTAAAAAATTTGATATCAGGAATTTGTTAATATTATTTTCTGTGAAAATGTTTTATTGTTCTTTTATTACAATTCGACAAAGATAATTCCTAATTTATTTTTAATTTTTATTTCATTTTATCGCTTGGTTTTCAAAAATCTAAATTGGATTACCTTACGTTTTAATTGGTTTGGCGCTGAATTGTAATGATTACATAAAACAACAGTACCACCGACAACAATGCATGTCACAACGATCATATAAACACCAAAGAAGAGGAAGTCTATCAAGATTTGTGTGCTTTACAAAGAACCAGTAGAAGTCAGGTATTGATTGATTTGGCGTTTATTATTATTTATTTTTATAAAAAAATTAGTTTTTTAGTTAAAGATTTATTTCGAAGTTTACTTTCTGAAATCTTTTACTCATAACATTAAAAATAATTTATTATTGGTTTAATATAAATATAACAAAAGCAAAATAAAAAAAAATTAAAATTCCCATAATTAAAACAATTTATTTGGTATGATTTTGGTGTTAGGTATTATATAAAAAACATAAATATGTTGTTAATGCGCATGTGGTATATCTGTTGCCTGCGATTTTTAGTATTATAGTGCATAAACGTTTGTTTATTTTTCTTCTATATATGTATATTTGTTTAATAAAAAACAATGTATTTCCCTTACCTAAATCCAACCCAGATCACCTCAGCGACCAGTTTCGAGCAACGTGATTATGTCATACGCGAACTGATCGACACAGAGTCGAATTATCTCGATGTCTTAAATGCCTTAAAGACAAAATTCATGGCGCCACTCGAACGTTACCTGAATCCGGAGGAAATTAAACTAATATTTCCGCGTATACGCGTAAGTTTGTATCACATATTTTGTAAAAATATTTTATTACAACAAATTTTGAAACATTCTGCTGCAGGAACTCGCTGATATCCACACAAGGTTTCTGGAAAAACTGCGTGAATCTCTCTCACCCAATGCCAAAGTGAAAATGAGTCAAGTATTTTTGGAGTTCCGTGAGCCATTCCTACTCTACGGCGAATACTGTTCCTGTCTGTTGGGTGCCATTGATGTGCTGGCCGATGTTTGCAAGAAGAATCAGATTATTGAGCAACTTGTGCAGGTAAGTTTTGTTAGATGTATACTCATCTCAGAAGTAATAAATATTATTGTTTTTTAATTGTTTTAGCAATGCGAGCGTGAATACAATGTGGGCAAATTGCAATTGCGTGATATTTTATCGGTACCCATGCAGCGAATTCTCAAATACCATTTACTATTAGATAAACTAGTCAAAGAAACCTCACCGGTAAGTTTTTTTTGTCATTGCGAAATGTCGAAAAATTGCAGAAAATTTGTGATTTATAAAATTTATTGAAAATGATTGTAAATTACGGTAAGTTTTTTTTTGAAATTGCGAAAGTTGTAGAAAATCAATAATTTATATAACTTACTAAAAGAAACTGTAAATTACTACTATAAATTGTTTGACAATTATTCTCTAATATCGCGATTACCATTAATTATAGGTGCACGAGGATTACCGCGCATTAGAGCGTGCCAAAGAAGCAATGATCGACGTATCTCAGTACATCAACGAAGTAAAACGTGATTCTGATCACTTAGTGATCATACAGAAAGTGAAAGTAAGAATATACTCTTTTAACTACCTGTATTATTTTTAACTTTTAATATTTAAATTTTTTTTTTGTATTTATTTAATTTATTTTTTTGCTCTTTATTTATTTTTTTATTTTTGCTCTTTTTTTATTTTTTTGTTTTTATTTTTTTGTTTTTATTTTTGCTCTTTATTTATTTTGTTTTGTTTTTATAATATTTTTTCCAATTTTTTTATAATTTTTTTTATAATTTTTTTTAATAATTTTTTTTTATATATTTTTTTATAATTTTTTTTTTATAATTGTTTTTTATATTTTTTTTTATAATATTTTTTTATAATTTTTTTTTTATAATTTTTTTTTATAATTTTCGTTATATATATTTTTTTTATAACTGTTATTTTTTACAATTTGTTTATCTAATATTTTGTTTTGTATACTCTTTCTCTACAATAGGACAGCATAATCGATTTGCATTTGCTGCCTAACGGTACCAATGATCTCCTGCAATACGGTCGTCTCCTCTTGGACGGTGAATTGCACATAAAAGCGCACGAGGATCAGAAAACAAAATTACGTTACGCATTCGTTTTCGATAAAATACTAATCTTGGTGAAGCCGTTGCATACGAAAATGGGTGATATGCAGTATACATACCGTGATTCGCATTACCTCTCCGAATATCGGGTAGAACAGAGTCACACGCGGCGTACATTGGGTCGGGATACACGTTTCAAGTGCCAACTGTTGTTGGCGCGCAAGTCGGGCAAGACTGCTTTCACGCTCTACTTGAAATCGGAGCCGGAGCGAGATAAATGGCGCAAGGCGCTCACTGAGGCAATGTAAGTGGAGTAAGATTTTGAAATTACGACGAAAAATATGTTTAATTATAATTTATTTATTTAGGGAAAACTTGGATCCACCTGGCTGCCGCAATACAGATCACAAAATGGAAATTTACACTTTTGATGCGCCTACGACATGCAGGCACTGTTCGAAATTCCTGAAAGGACGTATACATCAGGTAAACATTTGAGTGCGAATTGTACTTAAGATTTTAATATTAATAAATAGATTTTCATAATAATAAAAACTTTTTTTTATTTTTATTTTAAATTTTTCCAATTTAACTATTGATCTTATTTTCTTTTGTTATTGCCTTATAGGGCTACCGCTGTAAGGTTTGTGAAATTGCCGTACATAAAGGCTGCATATCGTCTACGGGTCGTTGCAAACAGAATCCCCTAAGCATACCGCCGCCTGTTTGTGATCGGCTGCTGTCAGAGTTCAATTGGTAAGAAAATTAATTTTAAAAATTTATGAATAAATATGTATATGCAGATACATCTATATATACATATTTATTTAGTACTAGTTTTATAGAAAAATATAATTATCGAAAATTTTTTCAGGTTTGTCGGCACAATGGATCGCGATACAGCCGCTATACGTTTAGAAAATCGTCGTGTTGGCACATATTTATTGCGTGTGCGGCCTCAAGGTGCATCCAATCCTCATGAGACTATGTATGCGCTGAGTTTGAAGTGAGTGTTGCCATATTATCGTAATTTTCATTTAAAGTTCTATTGATTTTATTTTCATATTTCTTTTTAGAACCGAAGATAAAGTTATTAAACACATGAAAATCAATCAGGAACCCGATGGCGATACAGTGCTCTACTGTTTGTCGTCCCGCCGCCATTTCAAAAATATTGTCGAACTGGTTTCGTACTATGAACGCAACGATTTGGGTGAAAATTTTGCGGGGTGAGTAAAAAATGTATATCATTTAAAGTAAAATTTGATAGTGTTCGAAATTCGGAATTTGATACATTTCACTTCTATAGCAATTATTGTAACTGCTAACTATGTAAATCAAGAAATGCAGAGCTAAAAATTTCTTGAACTGCTTCATATATATTTTGATCTGACTAAATATTTTTTTTTTGTTGTTTGTTGAAATAATTGACATCTTAAAATAAGAAATTAGGTTAGGTCAATACATCTGTTACCCTAACCCCACTATTTTCATTACATATCTTTAAAACTATTACGTATTCCTAAACCTTTTTTAGTTTAAATCAATCGCTGCAGTGGCCCTTCCGCGAAGTGATAGCCACGGCTATTTATGATTTTGAACCGAAGGGCAGCAATCAATTACATCTTAAGACAGGCGGACAAGTGCTAGTTATTGGCAAAGATGGCGACAGCAAAGGTTGGTGGCGTGGTAAAATTGGCGATACGGTAAGTTTCAGAGTTAATATCAGTGTCTAAATGGCGAGTAGAATTTTGCTTATAATTTATAGAATTTTGTTAGTCCATATGTAGCATTGACTACTTTAAAGAAATTCTTATTGTGCGCTGCGTATTTGTACATTTTTGAATATTCTGCTTTTTGAAGTCAAATATCAGCATTAACATTTCCTTTTTTATAAAAGAATTTGTACTGAGCAAAACTTGCAAACTTCCAATTAAAAACGAAATATGAACAGTCATATATGAATTTATGTGTGATAGAGCTCTCAACCCAATAGAAATACTTATCATATGAAAATTATATAAAAATTAAATGATTGGCATTTCTACAAATTTTTGTAGAGATTTGTATAAAAACGTAAGAAAGAATTCTTATGTTCCAGAAAATTATAGTTAATGGCGGCCTAAAACAGTTCTATAATTTTGAAAAATTCTGCTAGGGCTTGAATTGAACAATTTGTCGTTGCTGTTGCCCAAACTCGAGGGCATATGAACAAATAAGCGACTATTAGCAATGGGTAGACTACCATCTTATAACTTTTGGAGCGCCTTTTGACTAAGAGGGCGCTGTTAAATTTTTTTAAATGCCCACGATTAGTCAAAAGTAGAAAGAGAAAGTCGATAACCGATTTCTTTTGTAATATTTTGTCGGTTCGGCTTTATTTCTGCACTACCCAATATTCGTGCGGTAGTATTTAGTGCTTTAAAGTGATTGAGGTGACAAATTTCAAAATTAAAAAAAAAGTACACACAAGACATCCAATTCCACACTGTTGACGCAAAATTCAAGTCCAGAAAGCTGTAAAGGATTCATGCCGCATAATGTTCATATGAAATTAAGATTTTTGAAATATGTTGTTGTAGTAGAAATCATTCCCGGAATAATTTTGAGGTTTGTTGCCGAGTTGGCAGCCCATGGCCGAATAAAAATTCCGGTTACGTAGATCTGACGGTATTGTGAATGAATTTTTCAAGCATCAAGTCGGCTTTCAGTTTTTAATTTTAGTAGTAGCTATATGGAAATGCATTTTCATATTGAAGTAAGCAACATTTAATGAAGAAGGTACAAGTAGGATTTGTTTTACCATATAATATAAATGACTGAGTGATGACAGTCGAAAAACTCAACTTTTCAGTTTTCATTGGAAAGCTGTAATTTAATTAATTTTTTTATTTAACTTTAATGCTTATTTTTTGTGATTTTAATTTTTTAAATGTAATTTTTTTAATTCTAAAATTTTTTATCTTATTTTATTAAGTATTATTATTTTTTTATAACTTTTTTTTATATCTTGTTATTTTTTTTTATTTTTATTTTTTATGTAATTGTGTTTTTTATATATATTTTTGTATATTTCTTAAATACTTTTTTAAAATTTTTTTGTTTTGTTATTTTAGGTCGGCTATTTTCCCAAGGAGTACGTGCAGGAGCATCCACCGATGAGCGATGAACTTTGATATTACAATTATGTAATTTATGTTGCGCAACCAAGGGACCAACATGCAATTGCATCGGATAACACAAGTTTGGCGGGTGACAACTGCGTACCCACCACTAGCAGAGTGATAGCGCCCAGAGGTGAGCAGTAGTCGCTCAAACCTCGCGCTGTTTAAAAAACAAAAAACACTTTAGAAAAACGGGAAGAGAACAATAATTGTTGGTTGTTAACGGTTTGTTGCGGCAACTAGCTGCACGCTACGTATACATAAATGCTTGTAGAAGTGCCAGTGTGCATACAACAACACATAAAAACGATAACAAATAATAATATGTAATAATGTTATTGATTGTGCCAATAGCTTTTTATATACAATTTTAATTACGTATTTTATATTTACGTAATCGTGTATTTATGTAGTTACTTATACACACACATATAAATGTATGTATATTTTAAAACAATCTTGTTATATCGTTTTTTATACTAAATTGCATAATTGTGTAGTTTTTAGGTAGTAAGTATATTTTAACTGAATATTTTAAAGTTTAATGTGCGTGACTATATGTTTAACTGAATAGCTTATCTCACTTAGGTTTTTATCAAATTTTTATATAGTTTTATACAAAACATAAATATAATACAAAATTTATGATAATAAAATAAAATAAAATTATTGACTAAATAAAGAGGAGCTAGTTATTCTTACAAATATGTATGTATGTAAGGCATGCGCATGAGGAAAATAAGCTTTAAAATGTTATATTACTTAGAGTTTACAAGTGTATAAGCAACGATATACTAAATAGTGATAAATAAAACATAAAAATAATAAAAAATGATTGTGCGCGCGCAGCCGCAAACAGTAGTAGTGAAAACTCAAATATAAATATTTATGTATAACTGTATAATGCATTTCCAGCATAATTTTGAATTCGGTATCTCAATACTGCAAAAACAACTGTGCACAATATATTAACATGAATATTACAAATTTGTAATTAAATGTGCACACTAAACTAAAACTTTGAAGATCTACATATTTACAAATCTAAATATATACAGCCATATACAAATATATGAAATAGCAGCATACAACAAAAAATATTGATTGGTATCGCACATAAATACATACATATTGGTATACACATTAAACCGCCAAGTAATTTTATATATACATACATACATCTATAGGGCATACAGCATATACATGCAAGCAGACATAACAACAAATTTGAAAAAAAAACTACTTTTATTGAAAAATGACGCTGATAATTTATTTGAAAGCGGGTTAACAGTAAATGGTGAAGCGGGTGTGACATTTTTTGAGTAACGTAGTTTAACGATGTTCGAACGCGAGCACATCTACACATATGTATGTGTGAATCCCGTAGTGTATTATTAGTAAACCGAGCCGGACCTAAGAGTGCAACTCTCAAAATTTAGAATGCAGGGAAAATTATTAAGCGAACCTGAAACGAATATCTACATATATACATACATATATAAATACGAAGTATCAAATATAAATTAGTCATTTTAAAATTGTATAATAAAATACTGGAAACGTAATATGAAATGCATAATACACATACATACATGTATTCAGCATTGCCACTTAACGCTTATTTTTTTGTATGAAAGTTAGTAGCACATACATACATCTTTTTAAATAAATTTAATTTTCTTACGCATATCTATTTCTAGTCAATATTTTTTTAAAATTTTTTTCTTGTAAATTTTCTACAATTTGTTTGCATGCAAATTAATTTTGATATAAAATTACATTGTGTTTTAAATTCTGCTAGCCCTATTGTATATATATTAGTCTCTTCCCGTCATGAAATTGCTTTTTGTTGATCTTATCAGACTTTTTAACTTGGCAAATTCTACAGTTATCAGCTATGATAATTAAATTAACATTTAAATTATCATAATAACTTTTGTACTCTGTAAACCCGCAAATCTTAATTAAAAATAATTTTCGAATTTCAAATCCCGAATTCAAATTTAAAAAAAAGAAAAGGTTTTTAGCATTTTTTCGGGCTTGCGTATTGGGTGCTCTATCATTTTGAACTAGAGCTCGCACAGAGCATCAAACTCAATTCTCTAGAGTAGTGGTCGGCAAACTTAGAAACTGTTGCAAACGATTAATATTTTATTAATTTTTAATTTTGAATTCGGGTTTAAATATTTAATTTTCAATTGTAATCCTAACATTTTTGATTAAAAATTAAAAATTTCAAAATCGGAATTAAAAATAGAAAATCTAATTTTAAATCCAAAAATGTATAAAAAACTGTCAAAAAAAGCCACAAGCGTAAATAATGCTATAGGTCCAATTATCATTTTTTTCTGGGTTTGTAGCTCGATCTGAACTTTCAGCGCTTATAATGTCTGTAATATAAGTTTTTCCAAAAATTTACACTACTGAAATAGAACAAATTAGATCTATACCCATATCAGTGTCTAAATGGCGAGTAGAATTTTGCTTATAATGTATAGAATTTTGGTAGTCCATATGTAGCATTGACTACTTTAAAGAAATTCTTATTGTGCGCTGCGTATTTGTACATTTTTGAATATTCTGCTTTTTGAAGTCAATTATCAGCATTAACATTTCCTTTTTTATAAAAGAATTTGTACTGAGCAAAACTTGCAAACTTCCAATTAAAAACGAAATATGAGCAGTCATATATGAATTTATGTGTGATAGAGCTCTCAACCCAATAGAAATACTTATCATATGAAAATTATATAAAAATTAAATGATTGGCATTTCTACAAATTTTTGTAGAGATTTGTATAAAAACGTAAGAAAGAATTCTTATTTTCCAGAAAATTATAGTAAATGGCTGCCAAAAACAGTTCTATAATTTTGAAAAATTCTGCTAGGGCTTGGATTGAACAATTTGTCGTTGCTGTTGCCCAAACTCGGGGGCATATGAACAAATAAGCGACTATTAGCAATGGGTAGACTACCATCTTATAACTTTTGAAGCGCCTTTTGACTAAGAGTGCGCTGTTAAATTTTTTTAAATGCCCACGATTAGTCAAAAGTAGAAGGAGAAAGTCGATAACCGATTACTTTTGTAATATTTTGTCGGTTCGGCTTTATTTCTGCACTACCCAATATTCGTGCGGTAGTATTTAGTGCTTTAAAGTGATTGAGGTGACAAATTTCAAAATTAAAAAAAAAGTACACACAAGACATCCAATTCCACACTGTTGACGCAAAATTCAAGTCCAGAAAGCTGTAAAGGATTCATGCCGCATAATGTTCATCTGAAATTAAGATTTTTGAAATTTTATATATTTTTACTTTTTGTTTATTAATTAGAACTGTGACAGCCTAAAAAATGCGAATTTTGGGAACTAAAAAAACTCGACTCGAAAAAAAGTTGAGTTTTACCCAATTGATAGGTCATTGTATGGAGAGTTATGTATAGTCAATACAGAAAAAACTTGATAATGATTGCACTGAGCAGCTACACTAGACTGCTTTTTTTTTTTGAACTATTTTTTTTTTCGATCCCATGGTGAAATTTTGTTGGAAATACCATAAAAAAAATTCCCTAAAAATTTGGGACTTTAATTTTAATATTAAGTACTAGACCTAGGCCTGTAAAGATTTGATATAAAATACACGTAAAACTTGATTTTTTTTTTTTTTAATTTTATAACTCAGCGGCATTTGATGGGATTATCTCACCCGTCATTAGGTATTCCTCAGAATTGAACGCTCTACAAAAGTCTCCATTGCGGCCCCCAAACCTAATTTTTCCATGAAATTCGCGTTTTTTTGGAATTATCTCGTAAACAACACTAGATACAGAAAAATTGTAGGAAATTTAATTTCCTACAAAAAAGTCTTTGGCACCAAATCGATAATATTAATACTCTTTGAGATACAGAGATTTTAAGTTGAAGTGGTATGACCTCACCTGAGTTTCAGAAATCCATAAAAATTCCATACTAACTTTGTTTGGAGTATGCTTCAATATTATATGATTCTTCAATGTACTCTCACTACAATTTCCATATGTCGCAAAATATTTCCAGTATATATATAAATCCGCAGTCTCTTCAAGCGCAAAATAACTATAAACAATTTCGAAACTAAGCTCAAAACATGTTATGTAAAAGCACTAAAATAAACCTTTAGTAAATGTATTTCAAATATTGAATTTAGAAAAAATTATGCAAATAACAAAAATTTTAAAGCAATTTCATGATAATAATATTTGAAAAAATATATACAAATTATTATTATTTTTTTTTTAATTGTAGAAAGTTTTAACTCTCTTCTTCTCATGACTATTTTCATGCAAGAATCATACCCATCATAAAATTTTAAAATTAGTCTACAATTTTTAAAATCACACTTCTTTTTCACTCTCACGTTTCTTATACAAAATCTCATAACACTTTCGCAAAGCTGCAAATCCCTTACTAATTATATATTATGTAATTAAGAAATATAAAAAACCATATATGCCCGATTTTTTCTGTCTTAAAAACGTTGCAAACATTCCTCAATGCACTCTACTTTGTGTGTTGCTTACAAAGAATAAAATTAACTCAAATAAAATAAATTCAAACAATGCAAAAATGTTATAAAACTCTAAAGAGAACGGAGAACTTATTGCTCACATTGTTCACAGCCAGAGGAGCAAATCGTTTTAACGCACGTTACCACAAACAAATATAATATATACTATATATTCGTTTTAAAGCACAGTAACAAAAATGCAAGCAAGCTACAAATTTCTAATTGTTATGCAAAACATAATATACTACTACTACTGATTATGTGCATACTAGGGGTGTTCTATTTTTATTATTTACTTTTTTTAAATTTTATTTTAACTTTTTGTTTAATTAAAGATATTTTTAATTCACTTATATTTACTAATTTTTTTAATTTATAATTTTTTATCTAAAATTTCTTTAATTTATTATACTATATTTTATAGTTAAATTTTTATTTTAATTATATTTTTAGTTTTTTTTTTAAATTAATTTTAAACTTTTTGTTTAATTAAATATTTTTTTAGTGTTAATTTTTGAACTTTTTGAATTTAAATTCTTTAATTAAAATATTTTTCTAATTAAATTTTGTTTTGAATTAATATTTTTTTTAATCAGTTTCCAACTATTTGTTATATTAAATAAATTTTTAATTTTTTTATTTTTACTGATTTTTTTAATTACAGTAATTTTTTAAAAATTATTTTAAACATTTTGTTTAAATAACTATTTTTTTTAATGTATTTATGTTTTACTAATTTTTTTTAAATGTAAGAAAGCTACAAATTTCTAAATGTTATGCAAAACTTAATGTACTGATATGATTAACAACTAATTAATGTAGATACTAGGGATGTCCGAATTTTATTATTAGTAGCTCGAAATTTTGTTATAATTATTTGGACATAAATTTTAATTTTCAATTGTTTTTTAATTAAATTTTTTTTAAATAACATTTTTTTTAAATTAAATTTTTGTTTAATTTAAAATTTTATTTTATTAAATTTTTTTTTAATTAAATTTTTTTTTATTAAATTTTTTTTTTTAATTTAATATTTTTTTTTAATTTAAAATGTTTCGAATGAGTGTTTTTTCATAAATTTTTTTTTAATAATATTTTTTCTAAATAAATTAATTTAGTTTTTTGATTGAATTTTGTTTTAATTTTACATAAATATTTTTTTGTAATTTTAAATAGTATAGTAAAAAGTAATATTAATTATTTCCCATGCATTTAAGTACACCCCTACCATATGCAAATCCACAAATATATGCCAACAATTTATCTTAAGCAATAAGGAACTATTTATGCTTTGACATAATTTAATTGTTAATAGTCTAACAGTACACGCTTTGCATAAATCACTTCGTTTTGCACTCGTTTTAATGTGCGATTCCTCGGCTTAGTTATAAAAACCTAACCAATTATTTATTGCATTTTTTTCTAATGACTCAACAATGCTTATCGATTTAATTATTTGAAAATTAAATAATAAATAAAATAATTAAATACCGTAATATTGAAAGTTGGTTGGTGTGATTTCTGCAATTGCAACGCCAAAGCTAATTTGTTGTTGTACATATTTCTCAAATATACATATTAGTTTCTAAAACACTGACACACAATAATCGTTAGTCTTAAGCTTTTAAGCTCACACCTTCCATTTCGTATCAGTGTGCCACCAGCATAAATAAGATATTTTTCCTACATTTATGGCGAATTTGCAATTAACTGTACCACACTACCTGTATAATCCCGTTAATACGTGTATGTGTGTATTTTATTGTATATTTAATTTAAACATTTAAGTAAGTTAATTTATATGCAATAAGCAAAACAAAGTAAACAAAGTAATGACTTAACGCAAACCAAAAGTTGTATTGTAATGTAATTATAGCGAAAGTCTGTGCAAAAATGCGCCTAAAATAAAAAATATACTACTTGAAAGAGATTTAAAGCTGTGTTTGTACTCATTTTAAGAGAAAATTAGTAGATCTTTATTTTAGTTTTGTTGTGTTGAAAATTTTATTTTATATTTTTTTGTTTAATTAAATTTTATTTTTATTAATATTATTTTATTTTATCTCATATATATATATACCTTGAAGATTGAGGCGCGCAACTACTGCGACAGTTTAAAAAAAGGCTATTTTTGTGAATTAAAAAAACTACGGTATCAATTATTTTAAAGTTAAATTTATACATATTTTAAGAATACACAGAAAATTTTTGAAGAAAAAAATTAAATATTTTCGAGTTTCAAGCGTTCAACGACGGCGTTAAAAAATCGTCCACCATTTGCTGCTGAGTTGCCGGCCTTCTCCGTGGATAAAACCTTAAAACTTTAAACTTCTTTAAACTGAAATATTTAAAATGATCTACGGTCGAAAAAATTGCAAAAATTTACAAAATCATGTTTTTACGCCGTTTTAATTTAATTTTGGTTGTCTGTGGCCTGCAAAATTTATTTTTCGATTATATCAAAAAACTGGTAGGTAATTATCAGGGTTGCATTGAATTAATTCGAATTAATTTTTTTTTAGAATACCGAAATTTTCAATTAAAAATAATTTTAAAGTTTTTAATTCCCAAATACCGGATTGAAAAATAAAAAAAAGTTGAAGTCCCAAATATGAGAAAAAATTAATCTCATGCTTTTAATTAAAAGTTAAAAAAATAAATCGTTTTAGAATTCAAATTTTTTCGCGTTTGCATACCTTGTGTACGCACCACAGAACCATCATCTTCAATACTCTAGAACAGTGGTCGGCAAACTTGCACATTCAAACGATTGATAATGTATCAATTTTTAATACAAGATGTTGTGATTCAAAATTTAAAACCTAATTTTTATTTCAAAGCATTGGCAACCCTGGTTATTGTATAGAGAACTATATACAACATTTACCGAAAAAAATTTGATAGTGATCGGATAATTGTCTACGAGTAATCACTCAAGCAAATTTGAAAAATATAGTTTTGAGAAAAACGCGTTTAAAGATAAACTGATAAAGCTGTTGAGCCGTGTGGCTACATTTTAGAAGGCTGAAGCTCAAAAACGTTAAAGACATTGATTTAAAATTTTAGTATGCTATCATTAAAGGTATAACCTAGATCTATAAATATGAAAAAAAAATCGATTTTTATTTAATTTCACACTAAGTGTGTTCCTTGATGCCTAATGTAAAAACTGAACTATGGACGTTACACCACTCTCTTTTTGATGAAAATCCTTTTCAATATCGGTAAACTTTAAAAGTAAAATTATATGAGATTGTTTGTCTACGTTTTATCAAATATAGGTGAAATTGGTCTTTATATTCCCTAGCCCCTTTTATGATATACTTGTATAAAGTACATTAAAGTACATATATTCTTATGAAAAATGTAAGGAATACATCCCTTAGCCCTCGAATATCGAATGTTGTTGTTTCGCTCCCGCCGTCTATTTATATCGTTTATATGAAATAGCTTGATAAAATTTGGTAAAAGTCTTTCTCCTACAATTTACAAGAGTTCAGTTCCATCCATTTAATCAATTAAAAATAATTTTATTTATTTATTATACTCTATTATTATTATTTGCATCTAAATTCTCTCTTATAAACTGTTTATGCGTTAATTATATATGTATGAGTGTGTCTCCCGTCTGCAACTTCAGATTTACTAATGTATTACAGGCATACATATTTATGCATACATATTTACTGTCTTGCAGGTGGAGATTGCCTGTTGGCAATTATTGCCTTTGATCCCAGCTACGTCGCAGCAGGTGCTAGTTCTGTCACTTAGCAAATATTTGTTCGCGAGTATTTGCTTTATGTTTGCTTATAATCTAAGTTGTTTTTAATTTGAATAAAAATTAGGAACGATTGAAGACACACCTTCATATTAATATAATTAATATGAAAAAAGCAACTATTATACCAATTTAATAACCTTGATTCAATATCTCTTTTATGTTACCATTTTGAATTTAAATTGAAGAACGCCCTTTCACAGAACATAGCACAGCATTCATCAA